CAATCCCTGCTCCTCCATTTTCCTCTCGGGATCTTGGGTATGCACGCACATGCGCCCGGCGTGAGTTTAAGCCACTGGGTCCGGGATGCGAACTGCGGTCAACTATGTGGGAATCCAGCGACATAGCCATTATGGTAACTGCTGGTCCCAAAGCTCATAATTTTTTTTTTTTTACAAATGTATAATATATGTCTTAAGGCTATATTTATATGCTTATGTATGTGATGTTATAGAATTATACATTGTATAATAAATACTTTGTCCAACTTTTTTTGGGGGGGTTGTTTTAAGTTTTTGCCATAGGGTGCATGCATCCTCTTGAGGAAGACAGAGAAAGACAGAAGAAAAGTGAGAAATAACCCCCTCAGAGTGGATAGACATGCCACAATAAATCATTTCTCCTCCATCTCCTCTCAGGATGTTGGGCACGTGCACACATACACCTGGTATGATTTTTACAAGCCTTTGGATCCAATACTAAAACTGCAGTTGAGTAAATATGGAACTTCATTTAAAAAATGAAGGAAATAGAAGTTTTTAGAGGTTCAGTAAACTGTCCAATGTCCTACAACTAGAATTTAATAGTTTTAATACCTTAACCACCATGCTATCAGCTGGCCCCATGTCAGGCAGTTTTTTTTTTTAGAGGTAATAACCTAGCAATTACAATTGTAGGAAATTACCTAAAAGGAAGGCAGGGGGCTAGCCATGTAGCACAGTGGTTAAATGCTGTACATTGGGAACTGGATTCCACATGGCTGACTAGTTTGCATCCCAGCCCTAGCGACTTGAAAAACTTGCCAGGTGTTTGTGTGTCTGAATATGTAAAATCCTAAAGAGAGAGATGGAGGAAAAGAGACTGTAGCATGACCATACACCATCTTTGGGGTTCTCTCTCTTTCTCTCTCTCTGACAAGCAAATACACACTCTGGAAATAAAACACACATGCATGCGCACACACATATCTCAGAAAGGTGGGAAAGTCAAATGGTGTAGCCACTATGAAAAACAGTATAGAATTTTCTCCAAACAAAACAAGAAAGAAAGAAAAAGAAAAAGGAACTGCTATATTACCCAGCAATCCTCCTTCTGGGTATATATATATATCCAAAAGAATTAAAACCAAGATCTCAAAGACAGATCTGTACTCCCATTTTATTTTAACACTGCGCAATAGCCAAGATACAGAAGCAACCCAAATCTCCATTGACAGATGAATAGATAAAAAATATAGGGGACCAACAGATAGCATAATAGTTATGTGGCTGTACTCTCATAAGGCTGACTGTGGTTCAAGTCCTAGACCCAGAGGCTTGAAACACACTGGTGCATGTGCATGTGTGCCCAAAATTCTGACAAGAGAATGGAAGAGAAGGGATTGTGGCATGGCCTTCTCCCTGGGAGGGGGGGGTGATTTCTCACTTTCAGTCTCTCTCTCTGTCTCCAGTCAGTGCACATGCCCTATAGAAAAAATCTCTCTCTATATATATATAATAAAAAGAGAAAAATGTAGTTTGTACATGCAAAGGAATATTATTCAGCTTCAAAAGAAAAGGATATCCTCTAACTGCAGAAAAGTGAAAGTGGATCCCTATATCTCACCATTAACAAAAATCTACTCAAAATGGATCAAATATCTAAATGTAAAGCCTTAAACTATAAACTTACTTGTGGAAAACACAGGGGAAAACACTTGAAGACATTAGAGTTAACAAAGATTTCTTAAATGAGACCCCTAAAGCATAGATAATTTTAAAAAATAGACAAGTGGGATTACATTAAGCAAAAATCTTCTGCACAGCAAAAGAAACAATAATTAGAGTGAATAGACAACCCTCAGTATGGGTTATCTATGCTTCAGAAAAGGGACTTATAACAAGAATATAGAGGGAACTCAATAACAAGAATATAGAGGGAACTCAAGAATATAGAGGAAACTCAATTGTATTATTTATTTTTTTCTGACCTGCAGAAAAAAATAAATAATACAATTAAAAAATAGACAAATGAGTTGAATAAATAAATAGCTGAAGAAAACAAAATACATATAAAAGAAAAATTGTTAACCTTTCTTATCATAAGGGAAATGAAAATTTAAACCACAATGAGATAACACTTAACCCCAGTAAAAATGACTTTGATTAAGAAAATAAAGGGGGAGGGGCCAGCAGTTAGCGTAATGGCTATGTCGCTGGACTCCCATGTAGTCCACCGCGGTTTGCGTCCCGGACCCGGTGGCTTAAACTCACGCTGGATGCGTGTGCGTGCGTGCCCGAGATCCCGAGAGGAGAATGGAGGTAGCGTGGCCATTCCCCATGGGGGGGGGGGTGATTTCTTGCTTTCTGTCTCGTCTTTCTTTCTCTCTCTGTCTTTCTGGTGAGTGCATGCTCCCTATAGCTAAAAACCTCTCCAAGAAAAGAAAAATAAATGAAGGGGGAACAGCAGGTGGCATGGTGATTAAGTCGCTGGAATCTTACATAGCTGACTGTGGTTCAAGTCCTGACCTGGCAGCTCCTTTTCTTTCTCTCTCTCTCTCTCTCTCTGTGTGTGTGTGTGTGTGTGTGTGTCTTTCTGGTCAAATTAAAATAAATAAATAAAATTAAATAAATAATTTAAAAAAAAAGAAAAGAAAAGACTGAACAACACATGCTGGTAAGGCTGTGATGAAAAGCAAACACTCCTACACTGATGATGGGAATGTAAATTGGTATAGTCACTATGGGAAACTATACGGAGGTTCTTCAAAAACCTACAAATAGAACTATCATATAATTCAATAATTCTACTCCTTGGTATTTACCCAAAGGATAGGAAAATAGTCTGAAAGGCATTTGCACATCCATGTTAATTACAACATTATTCACAATTGTTGAGAGATGGAACCAACCTAAGTACCCTACAACTGATGACTGTGTTGAAAATAATATGGCACATGTACATTGTGGAATATTATTTAGCCTGAAGGAATGAGATTCTGTCATTTGAAACAAAGTAGATGAATATAGAATATTTAATGCTAAGCAAAGTAAGTTAGACTATGAAAGAAAAACACCGTAGAGCTAGTCTCTGTATGTACGAAATGTCTGCTCTCTATGGCAGAGATTGAAAGATTGGAAGTAGAGAGGACAAGTGTATACCAGCGACTGTATGAGATGGGAGTGGATAGTAAAGGGTGGGTAAGAGGAGCTCAGGGAAGAAATACTTAACAGACATTATACTGTTCTCCACTGAAAACGATGTTTGGTAACATCTTAGATTTGATTCTCACATGCATGCATACTTTGAAAAACCATATCATGTGCTATAGAGATGTACAACAATTGAATGTGAATAAGAAATCATAAAGTAAAAAGAAAGATATCTTACCATTTGCAATGACGTGTATGAATCTAGAGGACATTATGCTAAGTGAAATGTGCCAGTCACAACAGAAAAAATATGGCATAATTGTATTTATATGAGGTATTTAAAATAGTCAAGTTTATAGAAACAGATCATTGAAAGGTGGTTGGAAGGAGTAGTAAATGGGGAATTGTTGCTCAATAGCATAAAGTTTTAATTATGCAAAGTGAGTAAGTTCTAGAGATCTGCTGTACAATTTAATACCTACAGGTAACATTGCAGTATGGTACAGTGATAAATATGGTAAAAGAGTATATTTCACATATGCTTTTTTTACCATACACACATACACGTACACTTGCACACATACACACACTCATATAAACACATACACAAAAGAACACAAGGAAGGCCAGCCTGTAGCCTGGTGCTTAAATTGCCTGAATCCTATCCGGCCAACCATGGGTTTTGAGTCTCAGACCCAGAGGCCTGAGAAACATGCTGGATGTGTGTATTTGCCCAAAATCCAGAAAGGAGGGAGAAATGGATGAGAAGGGATTGTAGAGTGCTCATGCCCTATGGACGATGCTTTCTCTCCTCCCTTTCTCTCACTGGCAAGCATATGTGACCCCTGGCAAATTAAAATAAATAAATAAATAAATAAATAAATAAATAAATAAAAATAACACAGGGAAATTTTAGAGGTGATGGATAGTTAGTACCTTGATTATGGGGATGATATCATGGCTGAATATATGTATCTAGACTCCAGTAAATATGTGCAGTTTCTTAATATCAATTATCCTTTAATAAAAGTTAAAACTTGAAAGAAATGAAATAGTATGCTCATATACAAATTGTTCAAGAATGTTCATAGCAACCTCTTTTGTAATAACCCAACCCAAAATTGGTAACAAACCAAATGTCCACCAACCCAAGACAAGGTTTATTCAAGAATGAATAAACTAATTATGGTATATTAATACAATGGGGCAGCAATTAACAATAAAAATGATTGAGCTATCAATGCACACTACATAGATAATTCCTATAGATATGACAACTGAAATAAACCAGAAACAAAAGAATACACACTATATGATTCAACTCATATGAAGTTCATGAGTAGCAAAAATCTATGTTGGAAAAAATCAGAACACTTGTTGCCTTCGGTTTAGAGTGAACAATAGGCTCAAAAGGAGTATGCAAGAATGCATATAAGTCTTTCTCTTGGGTGATAGTTACAAAGGGTGCATATAAACTAAAAAATTCATCAGACTGAATATTTAAGAACTGTATATTTTATTAAATATGAATAATATACCAATAAAAGGAAAAAAGAATGGAGAGGTATTATTATGATGATCATGAAATGACATTCCAGAGATCCTAAAATCACATTGTATGACTCCAATATAAAAGGCTAGACCTAGATAATGAGTTCCATCAATATTGAATATTCCACAACTAATATGATTATTCCAGAATTTGGTCTATTGGAGATTTAGAAAACAATTACTGACAATAGTGTTTAGTGTCAAATTAGCAGTCGTCTGTGACCTAAAAGTAAAGTGGATAGCTAAATGCCGAGTACAGGATAGTGATAAATGAAGTTGCAAATGGAGATGTTTATAAGGAAATTAAATTTTAGGTTTTGGGCTTTAAAAGTTTTAAAGTTAGATTTCTTTTCAAGAAAGAATTCTTTGCTGACAAGTAAAAAGCACATTCATTGGTGAGTCTGCGTCTCCGTATTTTTCCGCTTTTGCTGAAAAATGGGTCATTGATTTATCATTAGCTGTTAGGTTGGTTGGTGGTTGGGTAGCTAACAAATAAAATGGGTCATTGATTTGTGTAATAGCCTAAGGTTCCTTTGTTTTAATTACTCATGTTTGTTGTGAATAGTCAACTATGTTTTTGACACACAGGTGTCCTATTTTATGAAATACTTATTTACTCACTTTGATCTTCCATTCCTTGTTTCTTCTCCCACTTCTATGTTTTTGTCTACTATCAGGTAAGAACGGCTATTATTAAAATCAAGAACACCAGGAAAACGTTTTCCTACCTTTGCATAATTTAGCAGAATTCTGATCACACAAAATGTGAATTAATTATCTTGATGTCACAAATATTTATTTATGTCATAATGCTCAAAATGTACATTAATTTCAAAGTATGCTCATTACCATCCTCATGATTTTTTTTCATTTAGTACCTAACAAAAGCAACACTTCCCTTTTACGGAAAGTCATTTCAATGACTGATAGGAATTATGGTAAAAATAATATGATAGCTTGCTTTTAACCACTAGGCCATTTATTCAGAATAATAATTTAAAGAAAAAGGATTCCCCCTGTGGAGTTTTCAGGAGCAGCTGAATGTTTGTCATTCATTCTTTCCTCCCATCTCTGTGAAAGAACTTCTAGGGTCCCCCCCCCCCTTCACCCTGAACACATCTGGAAATTGGCATCCTAGTTAGGGTTCTTGTGCACAAGACGTCTTTATAGACTCTGAAAGATTTAGAAATTCTTCTTAAATACTCTTTTTCATATCTATGGAGAATCTGAGTAGTCTCACAGTAAGAAAATAGACTGCTAAATTACCAAAATTCAGTTCCCAAGAGTTCTCCCTTGGGAGTTAGGACTGGGGGTAAAATCCTTTTCTGTGTCAATCAATCCATTTTTCCCGTTCCCTCCCTTTTCTGGCTCCTGGCTCTAATCTCATTCCAGGTCAAAACAACACAGCATTTCTCTACCAGGAAGCCAGAAAGCTGATGGAATATCCTCTGATCTACTAAGTGCTACCCAGCAGGTCTAAGGCTAAGGGACGTCAAACCACATTCGTGAACAGCTGCAGACAGTAAGGACATTATACTACTTTTAGACAACACAGCTGGCAGAGTTAGTGATGACCCTTGGGCTAGGACTCCTGTTGCCTCTGCTGTTGGAACAGCTCTGCTTCCAGCTCCTAGGAACCTCTGCAGATAGTATGCAGTACCACCACGACCTGCGGACAGACAATTGCAGCTGTGGACCAGAAGGAACACAGGATAATAGCTCAGAGGTGTCTGCTCATACACTCCTCCTCTCCCTGGACTACCAGCATGTGCAAGTTCCATTTGAGATTACACTCTGGATCATGTTAGCATCTCTGGCAAAGATAGGTAAGTGAGAGATTTTCTGAGGCTCTCCCATGAAGTTGTCTAATAGTAGGAACTCTTAGGGCTTCTCTAGATGTTAAGACACTGGTTAAAAGACCAGGGGAATGACAAGGTGAACTTTTGCCTCCTGCTGTCTCCTAAAATGATCTCTTTTCACAGCTCAATAAGGGATCTTCAAAAGTTCATGGAAAATGCCTATTACCAAAAAAAGCATAGTTAAATTTTTGTGCCAAAATAAATTTGTACTTTAATTCCATCTGTTTATGATCTTTTAAGAGTCCCTTTGTATTTAAATGATGGTGGTCTCCTGATAGAAGAAGGCAGGAATAGGCTCAGTATAGGAATTTAGATTATAAAGGGTCCCAGCCAAAAGTCAGAGAGGAAGGCCTAACTTTATAGAAAGAAGAGAAAAATATTATTAGATACTAACTGGCCTGAGTCTTTAGGCAGCATCGCCCCCACTCCAACCTTTTTTCTCCACAGGAAACTTGTATTTGCCAGGTAGTTGGAAAGCTGAACAAGTCCATTTTCTTTCTTTTCTTTTTCTCTTCTCTCTCTTCTCTTCTCTTCTCTTCTCTTCTCTTCTCTGCTCTTCTCTTCTCTTCTCTTCTCTTCTCTTCTCTTCTCCTTTTTCTTCTTTCTACTTCTTCTTCTCCTTCTTCTTTTAATTTGCTATAGGGCACTTGTGCTTGCTAGAGACAGTGAGAAAGTAAGAAATCCCCCTCCTGGAGTGGAGGGAGGGATGGTTAGTCCACAATTTCTTCTCCATTCTCTTCTTGGGATTTTGGACATGAACACACATATGCCCAGCCTGTTTTCGAAGCTGCTGGGTCCGGGACTCAAACCTGCATAGTCAGACATGTGGGATCCAACTGGCCTAAGCACCATGCCAGGGGTTGACCCCCACTTTCCATTTTTTTTTAGATTTTTGCTATAGAGCATGTGCACTCACTGCCAGAGAGAGTCACAGAGGGAAGGAAAGTGAGAAATCACCCCCCAGGGGATTACCATAGTACAATATCTTCTCCTTCTGGGATTTTGGACATGCATGCACAAATACCCTGTGTGTGTTTGTGGTTTTGTTTTTTTTTTTTTTTTTTTGAGAGGTTTTTGCTGTAGGGTGCATGCGCTTGCCAGAAAGACAGAGAGGGAGAAAGCAAGAAATCACCTCCCAGGGGGAATGGCCACACTGCAATCTCTTCTCCATTATCCTCGCGGGATCTTGGGCACATGTACACACAGGCCCGGCGTGAGTTTAAGTCACCAGGTTCGGGACTTGAACTGTGGTCGACTACATGGGAGTCCAGCGACATAGCCATTACACTAACTGCTGGTCCCACCTTATGTAGTTTTGAAGCCACTGGGTCCAGAACTTGAACTATAGTTGTCCAGTGTCTCAACCACCACACTGGCACCCGCCCCCTCCCTCCCACTTTCCATTTTTAAAAGAAATGCCTTTTTGGCACCATTCAGAATTTAAGGGGAAAAACTAGTAATAAACCCAGAAAGGAGAAGAGAAGAGTTGCTGTTTTAACTGTTCAGCCTTTAGGAACATCCTGAATTACTAGTGTTATGGCCTCCTAAGGAAAGTTATTTTCTGTTATTCCTTTTACCTCTTTATTTATTTGGATTTCACCTTGGTCATGTTAAAATTATGAGAGTCCTTTAACAATTCAAGGTGTTTATTATTGAGTAAACATTTTTTTTTATTTATAGGGCACATGTGCTCACCAGAGAGAGAAAGGGAAAGTGAGAAAGTGATAAAGTACCCCCTATGGGAGATGATAATACTTTATTTCTCCTTTTTTTTGGGAATGTGTGCACACATACCAGTGTGTTTTCCAAGCCATCATGTCCGGTACTCAAACCATACAGTCGACCACACGGTATCCAGCTACCGTAACTACCATGCCACCAGCTACCCAGAGTGACCATTTCTTTGTAGGCTCGGAACCAAAAACCGGGCCAGGAAAACATGAAAGAACATGTAAGATATTGTTATTTTAAATGAATGTATTGTTCTAAAATACATCATGTTTTGTATTTCAAGGTTTTATTTCAGTGACTTCATAGATACCATTATTTTAAAATTGATAAAATGTATTGTTTAAAGATACACACATGATTCACAGCTTCTTAGATTGTCAGAGATAAAGAAACCCTTAGAGATAATTTATAATCCAAACCTGTATTTATCATTCATTCCCCTTTTTGAGATAGGATCTCGAGGCCCAGAGAGGGAATATATTTTGGCATTTTCAAAAACCAAAACTAGAATGTAGCTCTCCCAATATGCCCATGATCCAGCTGAGATTAGGAGTGAATTGCAGTGTGGGGGCTCTGTTGGGGTTGCTTGCCTCTCTATCTCTCTCTCATGGAAAAAATAAGTATATAAGATTTTTAAAATATTGATGTCAGGGTCATAGGGCAAAAGGGACTTCCCAGTAGGTCACCCCTCTCTGTTTATTTAAGTAGGACTGTATTTAACCATCACTTATAAATAAATTTTTTGCTATCACCTTAGTAAGAAAATGTACACTTTAAAATGTCCTTACTAGCTTTCATTCATTCAGCATATATTTTATATGTAGAGCAATATATTGGGCCTATGGGTTACTGAACAAAATAAGATTATACATTTCCTATGAGGAGCTTTCAAATAATTTTAATGCCTAGAAGTAAGAAATGGTTTTTAGAGGATAAATATGGAAGTAGCATGATGTAGGGGAAAGAAAAGACTACTTTGACCTATTTAGTATTTTTGCAAATGTAGGATCCAATGCCTAACACATAGTAGGCTATGAATAAGCAAGTGTTCGGTGAGTGAAATGTTACTTTGTCCCTCAATTTTATCATGTATAAAATGGGAATAACAGTTTTTATCTTGCTGAGTTGGTGTGATTAGAGAATCAAATGGGAGAATATATGTGTTAATGCTTTTGCAGCTACTGAGAAATACAGTTTAGAAACTGACTTTCTTTTCTAAATATGTATTTATTAATTATTTGATGAGTATCTGTTTAACTAGTTCTATGCCAAAATTGTGCTATGGGATAAATGCAAAAGAGCCTAAACCCTTGAGAAATTGGTAGTTGAATTAATAAGTGTATTAGACATGCACCCTATAGCAAAAACCTCTCCCCCCCCAAAAAAAAAGTATATTAGAAAGGGATTTCAGCAGTATATTGGTGGGGACTTGGGTAATGTGGAAGAGGATAGATTATCCCAAGATGACTGTTAAGATCATTCCTATAGCTTAGATAGTTGATATATAATATAAATAATGACCTTAATCACCATCAACTTTATGATTGGCATTTTATTTTATTTTTTTTAAAGTTTATGACATAGGGTGCATGCACGTGCCAGAGAGAGACAGACAGTAAGAGAGAAAGAGAAATCTTCCTCCCCTATGTCCCATTTCCTTCTCTTCCATTATCCTCCTGGGATTTGGAGCACATATGCATATATGACTAGTATGATTTTTAATCTGCCAGGTCCAAGACTTGAACCATGGTTGGCCATGGGGGAGTTCAACTCATTAGCCACCACATTCACTTGCTGGCCCCTGGCATGGCATTTTAATAATCTAGTGGTATGAATTAAGGTCAAAGCCAATTCTTTCCAGTAGCCCAAGTGACAGGGTACAGGTCTACTGGAAAGAATAAAGTCAGAAGATGTGGCTGGGATGTCATCCAGCTCTGTCACATACTTACTGTTTGACCATGAAAAGTCACCTTGCCTCCCCAACCTCAATTATTTTTAGGAATAATTAATTATGATTCTTTATCAATGAAGAATTAGTTATGATTACTAAAGATCTTTTCATCTGCTATTATTCAAAAAATACATTTGATTTCCAGTTCTCAGTTATATACTTTTTAGGATATTGATGTCTATCACTATAATCATGAGACGAACAGAATATTTCCAACTGATAAATGGTATTGTTTTCATTGTAAAATATGTGCCCACATTTGAAGTTGATTTAGTGAGCACAAGAATAATAGTTTTGTTGTTAACTGTGAATACCTTCATTCCATTAATAAATATTTTTCTATTATAGAGATGAATGCCTATATCCATGTCTCTGTATCTTTAAGTTATTATTAAAATGGAAAATGTGAAATGACTGAGAAGCTATTTTCCTGAAATCATGAAGCTTAAGAAGGATAACATTTAGACATGACTGATAAAGAAGATGTTGTAATACTCTTATCATTTTTTTTCTTTTCTAGGATTTCACCTCTATAATAAGATGCCCACAGTTGTACCAGAAAGTTGCCTCTTAATATTCATGGGCCTCATCATGGGAGGATTAATTTACAGCTTAAATGACAAATCCCCACCAGTCATGGACAGTGACATATTTTTCCTGTACTTGCTTCCACCAATAGTCCTTGAGGCAGGATATTTTATGCCCAGTCGACCCTTCTTTGAGAATATAGGAACCATTCTGTTATACGCTGTAGTTGGAACCATGTGGAATGCATTTGGTATAGGTCTTTCCCTCCATGGCATATGTCAGGTGAAGTACTTTAACCTTCAAGATGTGTCATTGCTCCATAACCTTTGGTTTGGTGGCTTGATTGCTGCAGTAGATCCTGTTGCTGTACTCTCTGTATTTGAAGAAATTCATGTCAATGAAAAGCTTCATATTTTGGTATTTGGAGAATCCCTCCTTAATGATGCTGTTACTGTTGTAAGTATTTCATGCACGGGCTTTCTAGGTAATGAATTATGTTTACTTAAGTTCACTCCTGAAATTTAGATAGGAATGTTATGTTCCCTTAAGTTCACTCCTGAAATTTAGATAGGAATTGAATTCTGAGTTAGGCCATAGTTGAGGGATTTAGTAGTACTAGAAATAAACTTATAACTTGAGGTAATGGGATATAATAGTTACGGATATGTTTTAGAAAATAATAGTGATTCTTCATTAATTAATTAATTAGTTAATTAATCTTTTATCAGTTTATTAGGTGAAAACTAAAATAAGTATTTGGGAGTCCATGATCTTTCCAGTCAGAGCAAACAAAAATGTCTTAGCCGTTAAGAATATCTCTGCAGCCCATCAGAAAGTTTTCAAACAGAATCATGAATAGTTTGACAATGTCTTGTAGAGATCTATCTTAATATGGGAAAGCTTGATATGGAAATTTAAGTTGGGTAGGCATGAGGAGCTGGAGACTTCAATGCTGATGAACCTCTAATTAGAAAGATAGATAAGGCATTATTTTAAACTTTTCTGTTATAATTTATACATTTGCTCTAATATTTTCTTATGCAGGTACTCTATAAGCTGTTCAACTCTTTCTGTGACATGCCATCTATCAAACTGGTAGATATTTTGGCTGCAATAGGAAAGTTTATTTTGGTTGGAATAGGAGGAGTTTTCATTGGGTTCCTGTTCGGCATGTTTGCTGCCTTTACCACCCGTTTTACCAAGACCATCCGCGTCATTGAACCCCTCTTTGTCTTCTTATATAGTTATCTCTCCTACCTGACAGCTGAAATGTTCCATCTCTCAGGGATTGTGGCGTAAGTATCTGGACAAGTATTTGATCTAGATAATTCCTTTTAGAAAGTCAGTTGGATTATTTCACTGGAAATCTAGGAAATTTTATGTCCTAGTTATGGGAGGAGGACTCTCCTTCTACGCTCTTCTAGGAGCACTAATAGAGTTACCACTAATCGAGGCACTTAATTACATGACTGCAAGTGGCATTTATGACCATGCTTTTATGTTCCCTGTAGAGGCTAAATGTCTATATCATAACTACCTTTTCTGTACTTGGGGCAAGAGGGCACTATATCTCCCATGTTGTGTGATGAAAATTATGAGAGTTTGATGTGGCACTACCTAAGTCAATTCTCTATTTTTGCGGGGAAAAGTCATTTTCCTAACAGATTAATGTATCTGAAAGGAACTGAGGTGAGGGTTTTCTTTTTATCTTTTTTTTTTTTTTTTTTAAATTTGGGTCAGAGGGGCCTTTGTCTGTGCTTGTTCTCAGGTGGGACTTGTGCATGAATTTCCCTTGTGGTGAGGGTTGGTCATATGTTGCATGGGTCTGGTTATTTTTCTCCTAATTTTTGAAGTGGCTAAAAAGTTCAGGAGACTCTTTCTGTCTAAAAGTTTTGGACCATAAAAGACTGTTACCATCTTCCTAGAATGTGGTGGGACCAGGAAAAAAGCTGTTGTTTTAGGTCAATCACTAGGTCTCTGCTGCAAGCTGTCCTTGTGAGCAAGAAATTCAGCAATAGCTGTCTCCATCCCAAAACTTAGCCATTTTGTGATTCTATCTTGGACCCATACCCTAACTATATTCTTAGAGTTCCTGTCTTCTACCTTACATGGGTTTTTATAAGGCTTTTATAAAGAAGTAATGGTTAATGGTCACAAGAATTCTTAGATCATTTAGGCTCATGGTATGGGTATCCTTTGTTCTTAATTGTGACCCTTTGCTACAAGTTATTCTTTTGATAGCATTTTTTCATGTATTTTGGGCCTATTGGCTTATTTCATAGCTTTTATTGGGCCCAGGTACTTTAGATTTCAAAGTTGGGAGTTGTCTGGTCCTTGGTCCATGACTTTACTTGTTTCACCTAATATTAGTTTTGGCCAGAAGGACAAAGGTCAGGGAAGAATGTGACTTCCATTAAGTTAAAGTGGATTTTTTTTTTTTTTTTTTCCCCTCAGTGTTCCATCATGGTTTCTTTTGTGTTGCTTATTCTAATTGCCTAGCCAGAGTCTATCCCAATTGTATCTTAATTTAAGAATCTAGTTAGTGCTTTAAATTGTCATTTATAGTTATTGTCTCATTACTTATTATGAAAATTAGGTGAAAGGAGCCAACGAATACATGGAATAGGTTGAAGCCATTTAAATTCAATAATTCTAATCCAGAACATTTAAAATGGTATATTTAAGTGAATTCCTTCTTTTGAGTCCCCAGGTATTTAAGAAACTTGACAATATTTGTTGTCATATCTGTGCTGAGTACGGAAAGAACAAAATATAAGGAAAAAATGCTTTCAAATCTACTCGCTTCCTGTGAAAATCTCCTGAAGCTTAATTTTTTGCAAGTGTAGGATCTTTTATTTGAGATTAGGATTATAAACGTCCTTTGAGACTATGATCTGATAAAATTGTTTCATTTGACTATAAAAGGTAATGAAAGATCTCCTTTTATTTTCTATGGAAATGGTTTAACAAAATACATTGAATGATTTAGTTTTTATTCAGACATTCTTAGTCTAGGGTTTTAGGTGTATTTTTATTTAAAAGTCATGTTCATATGTTTTAAAAAGTACAGGGATCTTCAAAAAGTTCATAGAAAATGTGTATTATGAAAAAATTATACACATATTTTGATTTTTTTACACAAAAATGAATTTCTACTTTAAGATCATCTTTGTACACGAACCTTTTGACATTCCTTCATATACCTGTATAAGCTTTGTGCTGATGTGTTAAACTCCATTTTGCCTAATGCATAATTATTTCATGCTTTAGGTAAAACAGTTTTTACCTAAAGTATAATTGTTTTGAATGTAGTTAAAAAAGAGAATAAGTATGATTTAAAGCATTGGAGAGAATAATTTTCTAACACATTGCATTAATAGTAAAATTAATTAGTCTGCAAGCACTGGATGAAGAAATTGAGTACTAATATTTCAGTCACCTAAATTACCAAAGCATATAGATTATTAAGAATTTGAGCACATAATTAAAATGGATAAAATAGAGCCAGCTGGTGGCATGGTGGGTGGCTTGAAAAACATATTAAATGCCTGTGGGTGCCCAAAATCCTGATAACAGAATGGAGGAGAAAGGACTATTGTGTGGCTATTTTCCCTTGGGGGGTGATTTGCCACTTTCGCTACATCTCTATCTGTCTC